AAGTTTACTTATCTATTCACCAGCCACCCTGGAACAAACAAGCTGCACAGAGTGATCTTTAGGTTCAGCTTCATTTTCTGTCAGTGAGTGCTTCAGGAAACATTTGAAAACACAAAAAGAAAAGTAGAAAATAGAAGTGGAATGCTTTTTGACTTTCCAGCTAGCTCAGTGGTTTTCAAGAGACAGAATTTAATTCCATTTCCCTCATATTAAAAAGTAAATCAAATTTTCTATATTTCTTGAAAAAGAAGGATTTTAGCTTGTAAACTATAGGTTTGTTGTACCTTGTGTCTCTCAGAGAAAGAACACCTCTGTGTTGTCTTTCTAGACACTTCAGCATTCCTCTGGAGGGAGAGCAATCAGCAAAGACATAAAGAAAGCTGCCCTATAGCTGGAGGCTGTGAGGGGCGCCAGGAGACAGCACTGACAGGCAGTGCAGAGCACGCAAGAGGAGCTGCAGCCTCCTGTCTCCACAGATTCAGGAAGCTGCATTTGTCTCATAAAGCAGCATTTAACGTGATCTTTCTCCAGCCTGTGTTAAATAATAAAAACACCATTAAGACAAAGTAGAGGGCCTTTTAAAGACAGGGAAATTATGCCAGTTGTAATGATCATGCCTGACTGGTAGATAGGGGTATATAGGAAGGGCAACAGGAAAGGGTGGCAAAAGAAGCAGAGGTTTCTGCAATATAAATCCACACAAAAGGAACCTAAAAAATCTAAGCAATTCAAAAGGGAAAATTGCTTTGTGTCACATTGCACTTACATTTTATGCTGGAAAATAAAACAGGTCTCTGAAACACAACAGTTGGCTGTAGCAGCAAATTCTTCCCGAGCTGAGGAAAAGAGCCAGATGTCTTATAGATAGGCAAGCAGCTGCTCTCCAGACATTTGATTGCTATTTTATATCCAATATCTAGCTCAAATGTGCCACACAGCTATCATTTATTTATATCGCATGGCTCATACTTACAGGTTAGAATATGACTTTTAAGGTATTGTTACAGATTTGTGTTCAAGCCTTCTTCACCTGCCCTGTTTTACATTCCATCTGTCCTTCTAAACCAGCAAACAAAACAATTATGTTTGCCTATTTAATAAAATCTATAACTCAAGTTCTTATTAATCTTTATCTAACATATTACTTCTTATTGTGTTTTGCTATTTGCGACCTGTTTCAAAATGTAAAAAATATCACAGTGTAGCTTTTTTCCTTCAGCAAGTTAGTTCAATCCCGTACACCATATCCATTTAGCCATTCTTCTAGTTTGAAAAATGTGCAGAAAGACACTGGGAAAAAAAAAAAGTAAGATATAAGTCCATGGCACAAATCGCTGTGTTGGCCCTAGGTGGTAGGTTCATTATATGGACTTCATCTCAGAGGACCAGCCTGGCAGGTTGCGGACGTTTCGAGGTCATGAAGGTTTTGGTGGATGTGCTGCTTTTGAATACCTGCTGAAGCAATAAATAGATTTTCACAGTTACGAAAAATGTATAGATTTCCTCAAAGTCTTTCATAAAGTTACTGAATGTTTCTGTTCTCCTTCTAAAAGAAAACATCAAAATCAGGAAGAAAATGGTATTAAAACATCTACTTCCTTTGAAAATTCTGGTTTATAAATGTCTTTCAGATATACTAACAGCACAATTTGACAGTACCTTAAATTTCAGGGTCACATGACACCAATTCATGATAGCGCTTTTTCTCATCTGCCCACCAATCTGTCATCTCTGATTAATTTAACATCCCAACCTCTTAAGAAGCTTCTAAATGCTTCCAGATTTAAAATTATAATAATAAGACAAATTTAGTGGAGTTGTCTGCTGGAAAACATATTTCTCCATTTTCTTATCAAATATTTTTTTTTTTCCCAAAGACATCATGTTTTCTTGAAGACTTGAAAGGAGGATTTAATGTGATTTATTAATGTTAAATCCATTTTTAAGGCCCTAATTTGCTAGAACTTAGAAGCTAAATCCACTTCTGACTTTTAAGGTTGGGGGTGGATAAGGTAATGCATTATACAGTGACTTGGTCACATAGCAGAAGTGCTGTCTCCCATTATAGCACTTTCATAATTCCCCTTTAGAGGTGGACTTGTTTAGCTGTGCCTCAACTCAACAACTTTTTGACAGAAAGAAAGGAAAGCCAAAATTATTCCAGCCTAAGTCATAAACACCTTCAAAACTTTCCTGAAAACATTTGTTGTATATTATAGTTCACAAAGAGAACATGGTCCAGCCTGGTGTGGAACATCAACACTCCAGATATTAGCAATACTCTGAAAGCTGATCTCACTTATGTTACTATGATATAGATGGGAAATGGCAGTGGCAGCATAGTTCAAAATTTCTCTTCTTTTTAGAGTGTATCTCTCTGGTGAAAGGCTTTGCTGGAGTTTGGAGCAGCCTGCTTTCTGTTACTGAATTGCACCCTGACATTATTTTTAATTGTCCCCCTCTCCCTGAAAATAACATTCAGCCATGGTGGCATTTAGGGGATTGGAATGCCTGGAAATGGACTTTGAACCAAAATCTGCTTCCAGAAACTACTTAATGGGCAGATCTGGATAATTAATATAGCTGTGGAAAGTGATGGTAAACAACTACTCAAGGACAAACCTTAAACAGAAAAAAAAAAAAAAAGAGTTAACTCCTTATGAAAAGATTAAGTAGTTCTAATAGTGAAATTATACACTTAAAAAAAAAGCCATTTGATTATCAGCAAATCTAAATCCAGTTCTAAGACCCTCTTTGCAATAGACACTAGTGACATTGCTACCCAGTAGGACAATTACAGGATGCTACCACTCCTAGACAGGACCAAGCTACTGCACAAATATTGGAATAGCATGTTTTCCAAAGAATTTACAGATCTCAGTTTAAAAAGTTCAGAACTTAATAGGTCAGAAACAAAAGGAGGTAGTACACAGGTTGCTCATGAGGATATCTGCAGTCTGAGGCATCACAGGATCTCACCAGTGCCCAGCACCAAACTGCAAGGCAGGTGGGGTCAAGCCAGGGCAGACAGGGAGCCCAGGGAAACTGACTTCTTTTCTTCCAGGATTGCCACCACAATGCAAATGGCAAGTGGCTCTTTAGAGATGCATGTTTTATCAACTCATGCTCATCTCCTAATTTTCTATGAGCTCCTCACTCCTTTTCTGAAACAAACACACAACAACCACATGAGGACTCTTGTCCAGTGCTTGGATAGGTGGCTATTGTTGTCCAAGCACAAATCCACTGACTTTTTCCTATTGAATTACCTCCTGGTTTGCCTCACATCTCTTCTCTAAATTGTCATGAGTGTTTTGAGTTTTAATCTGCTACGTGCATTCCCTCCTAACTAGGTATCATTTGCAAATATATAAGGCATCCTCACTTTTCCATCAGCCAAGTCATTGAAGAAAATATCAACTAATTCTGGAACAAGCACAGATTATTCCTGAAAAAACCCCACTCAATATATTGCCATAGTTTGATTTCTTTCCTTAGCAGCCTTTTCATAAAGACCATATGTTCCCAGCTTACTTACAAGAGTGTTCTAGGAGACAGTGTCCAGAGACTCACTAAAATCAAGACGTGGTATCCACTGGTTTTATGGAGCCACATGAAGCATGTCTTATGACAGATTGAATTTATTTTGGCTTGACATGGATTTTATTGACCAGTCCTTACTCTATATATAATATTTTCTAAATGTTCATAACTAACATGTTATTTTTTCCACTATTTCTACAGGAAATAAAATTAACTCCATGTATTATAATTTTAAGCTCACTCTTCTGTTACTTTTTAAATACCTTTCATCTTCTGGATTTTCAGAATATCATTTTGGACTGGTTGATCACAAAATAGCTCATTTTCTTGCATAACTTGAAATGTATTCTTCCCTCTTTTAAGTTCTTGCCCTTTTTATCATGATACCACCTGCTTATAACTGACCTTTGGATAAAACAAAGAAGGAGCTGAATCTATCAGCTTTCCAGGCATTGTTTGCAAATGTCCTTGACTCTGCAGAGAAGTGGGCTAAGTCTTTCTTTAGCTTCCTCTGCTGGTTGGTGCAGCAACATGCTGAGAAGCATGCATCACCTATGCACCACATGATTTCACTCTCTGCTTTTGATTTTCTCTTTGGTCTCACATGTTCATCCATTCATCTTTCTTTAAATTCTTTTCCTTGGTGAGTGATGTACAGCTCCTTCCCTTCCTCCGCACTGTCATAACTTGCAATTCTGCATAGTTTTCTTTTGCATAGTTTTGCATAAACTTGCATTTAACATAGTTCCTTTAAAGATCTGCCTACTTCACTCAACTCTCTCTCAGAATTGTCTCCCACAGGATCTCACTTACTAGTTCTCTGAATTCCTATAATCTGCTCTGCTGAAGCACATTGCATCTCTTCCTGTTTGTCATGAATTCTGCTGCCTCATCGTTGCTCAAGAAGTGCCCAAGTTGCTTTTGACTTCTGCTTTTTCCTTTATGTTCTACCAAATTAGAGAATCATATTTGGAAAATGTCATCTCTCTTTGCATTTTCCAGCTTCTACATAGAAAATTTCCACTAAAATGTCTCAAAAATTAGCCAACTGCCTGAGGGCATTCCTTCCAATGTGCAGATTTTTGAAATCAATGCTGGTGGCACTGAGTGCAGTTTGGATAATTCTGCTTACAAAAGGCCCATAATGTGATTTCCTGGATAGCTATCTGACCATTGACTCCCATTTAAAGCACTTTTTGTGCTTTAAATTGTACTCAGAAATTATGACACAACTTTGAGCCTCTTTATTAATAACCTCAGAGCAAGAGATGCCTATGTATACATTAACATATAAGGAAATACCTACGTCCTTTTCTCTGTCTACTTGCCCTGAACAAATTCTGCTGTTTATATTAATGTTCCTGCTAGATGAATCATCCCACCAGGTCTTTATTAGGTCTGTTAAGTCATAACTTTGAAATGTGTTTATACTGCTACTTCCTCTTGCTTTTTCTCAGTGCAACTGCTGCGCAGATATTCCAGGGACAGAAAAATGAACCTGACTACAGAAAACAGACTAGGACTCCTAGAGAACAGCAGACATCTGGCTCTAAGAGACATGCAGAAGGGGAAGAATGTCTGGTGGCACTCTTGTGTTGAACACTTGTGGAAGAAATCAGCACTCAGGCTCCTGGACAGCCTCCACCCATTGAGTCCAAGAGGTTGGTGGAAGCCAATCTGCTGCATCCAAAGCAGAACCTGCTATAATCAGCTTTATAGACAGAGTCAATCCTTATGCCTACTTTTTGATGCCTGTTTTTCAGATTTTTAGTGGTGATCCAAACCCCCGTAATAAATTCTTCGCCATCTGAGAATGATAGAATATTTTCTGTCAAGAACAGTGAGAAACATCTTCTGAAGATCAATATTAAAAACTGGCCCCAAATCCCTGAAAGGGTCGGACCATCCAGTAATCTGAAAAGATCTCTGATGTTAATTTATAATGAATGCTAGAACATCAGATAAATCTCAATTATTCAAGAGGTATTAATATTGTACAAGAAAGATTAAAGAGACAACAACAATATTTACAGGTTAGCAGTTTGCAAGTGGTATCAGAATAATGATGGAAAAGAAGCAGGATCAAGAAATTGATAGAAAAATGAACGGCATATGTTCATGTATGAAAAAGACACATTAATAACCAGGCCATTCTTGTAAATGAAAAGAGGGTTATACCAGATTAATCCTAGGTTCACAGTGTGTTCACTGTGAGAAGAAGCTGACTGAACTTTTTTTTAATTTACTGGCATAATCTGGTATGATTTGGGAGTCGTTCCTGTGACATCAAGAGACTGAGGAGATTCAGCAGGGTAAAGCCACATCAAGACTGAGATCAAATATAGACTGAGCAGATCAGACTTGCAGATTGGCATTTGGAGCATTCCTGTGTCTCATGATGATCCTTAGCATGGAGGGAAAGGGAGATTACTGGCCTGACAAACAAGTGACTCAGGGTGACTGAGGGATTTGCTGTACCTTCAACAGCTTTTGGAGAGGAAACCATCTGTAAAGCTCAGTCTATAGCACTTGAGAAAGGAATCACCTTCCATTCTAGAATACTGGAAAGTCACCAGTCCTTGTACCAAATGAAATGCATGTTATATATGTTTCCAAATAATGAGCTTGCTTGCATGTTAGGAATAACACTATTTTGAATAATGTACATGAGAAACTGTTACTAATAACTTTCTCTTAAAAGTAAATTTGAGAATTGCTTTCATTCATAAAAAATAAAGATGTGTATGAAGCAAATCTTGCATTCTGCTTTTCAGTGACAATTTTTCAAATTCTTTAGTGCTTTGGAAAACAAATGCTCTTCATTCCTTGATAGTAGTGATCTTAAAATAATAAATAAAAATATCTGTAATTCTGTAATGTTGATAACAATTCAATAATTATACCTGGCAAAAATGTAAAGATAGCATTTTATAAATTAGTAATTTTTCATAGCTGGAAGCTGCTGCTTACAAATCTTATTGTATCTTTCCAGGCTATCAATTGGAAACAATCCAAACTTAGCATGTCGGATTGAATTGTTTATTTTGGAGATAAATTTGAAATAAAATATTGCTGAAACAGTCTCATTTTATTCACTAGATACTACCAATTATATTAAAAGTACAGTAAGCAGGAATAAATCAACTATTCTAGAAATGAACTGGTTTTTTCCACACAAGACATTTGAAGTATCTATTAGCTATAAAAGTGGTGAAGTGATGAAGTCAAATTTCAGAATGGGCTGTAGCTGCTCAGTCCAATTTATAAGTAAAAATGTATCACCTGCTTTGCACTCTCTTACATGTGCTGGACAGCTGGTGAACAGGCCAAACATTCCAAACATTCCAAACACTCCAAACATATCAAACATACCAAAAAAGTATGTGCTGCTAAAATATCTCCCAGGAATATGCCCCTGCTTGTGGAGGTGGCCTCACTCTCACTCTTTGGATGACTCTGAATGCAGTGTTGCTGGAAGTTTTTGTAGAAAGGGCACCAAAAATGTGCCAGCTTCCATCTTAGGCAAAACAGAACACAGTGTTTTATCCTAGAATACCTGACCACAGCCTTTATGGTTTTTGTGATTTATATATATAGATATATATATATACACACATACATGTATATAGGATAAGTATTTTTTAATTTAGGTGTCTTCAGTAACCTGTTCACAGTCACCCAGTTCATACAGAGAGAAGGATACAAATCAGCACTAAAAACATGACCACTTCCTGAAACCACACTTGTCAGGTTTTTATATGCAGATAAAACCAACATTTTGCTGGCAGCTCTATGACAAAAATAAAAGTATGCAGGGTTTTGCACAACCCAACAGATGCTATGCCAATTTGAGTAGTGTTGTCCTTCTCAATAGCTTAAGTGCAGCACTACAAAAAAGCCTCCTCGGTAAACAACCCATAGCACATGCTCACAAAGAGGTGAATATACTGAGATATTTATTTCTACCCATCAATCACATTTGAAATTGATCCAGATAACAAAACAGACTCTTTTTTGGAAGCTATATGAAATTCATTGATGATCATGGCTTTTAGTAGATCTATATTAGAACCACTAAGGTATTCAGCATTAGAAGACATCTGAACTTTTCTTATAAGGCAGAGATTGGGTGAAAGCAATAGAATTAATCTCTGGGGCAGCGCAAAGAAGTCTGAATTACCATCCTTCAGACACAACCTTTCTAGGGGTAGCCAAACACAGCAGTCTGGATTTCATTCTGGCATAAGGCGCAAATGCTCACTTCACCATCATGACAAAATCAACATTTGGTCCGTAACAGAAGTTCATGTCACTTTCAGATTTAATTTTTTCCAGCAAAGTTTTAAACATATAAAATTGTAGGTAAACACACAAAATTTTTAAGTGTTCTGATCTCTCTCCCTTTTTTTTTTCCAATAAAAGACACTAGAGATTTATTTCTTATTCTGTAACCGCAGAGTGTTTTGCCTTTCCTAAAATGTCTGCCTTTGAACTCTGCCCCTGTAACAAGTTGGTAATGTAGTTCAGTAGGATCTGCAAAACCGTAAATACAAACTAATGTTGGCTACTGTAAAAATAAGTTAACATTTCTTAGATTTGCTCTTAAGTATTCCATGCAGAATTTCAATAATCTGTTTCAAAATCTGATCAAGTTCTTTAGGAACATCACATGAGCAAACCATCACCTCTAACTCACTTCCACTAAACTACATAAATATTTGTTGGAGCATAGATTTCAATCAAGATCTCATGATTCAATTTATAAGAAGATCTTTCCACGGACTAATACTTTACATTAGTACACAGTAATATTATAATAAGGATGTAAAATGAAAATTGAAAAGACAACCTTTGAAGGAAAAAACACATTTGGAATTGGCCACAGCCTTGGACAAACCTTTTTTTACCCTTAAGCTGTCATGATCATTTGATGCCTGTAAAATAAAGTAGGATTTGAAAAATTGTCCAGTACATCACTCTCTTGTTGATAGATTGCTTGTGGGTTGGTGATTCACATATATTTGTTTATCACCTTGCTTTTAGAAGGTATTTGCCAATTATACACCATATATCTCAGCAGATATACAGTAGCAGCCAAGAAAGAAAATGCAGCAGTCATCTCTCACTTTAAATGTCATTAACACTTCACAAAATCAATCTTTCCCATTAAAAAGGAAAATATGTCCTTGGACACTTGGAGCTTAGTTACTTTTCTAAGGTTTCTTGAACACCATCTAAGATTTGAACCCTGGTTTGTTTTTTGTTTTCAAATCTTAAACCTATGCCTAACCCTATGAACCTCAGTGAGGAAATGGCTTATTCAACCCAAACCTAAGTACATTTACTCCCTCAGATGCCGTCTTTGCTGTCTGTAATTCTACAGTTTCTAGGGATCTGCTCCACTGTAGTCCTTGGTTGTCTGTACCAATAAACCTTGGGGCCAGGGAATCTGTCAGTGTGTTGCCATGTAGTTGGTCGCACCATTAATTTCTGATCATGCTCTATGGCTTTGCCCTAGACCAAGTGGCATTTCTCCTACGTGGTGTCCTAGGTTTACAATGAGCAGATGACCACATCCTGAAGGTGGTATGGATATTGCTCTTTGTTTTGGGATGTAACTCACTCCTGTGGATATGCTGCACCAGGTGGCTTCCTGGACAGAGGAGGCCCTTGGTCTTCTTTATTTACTCCTGGAGAAGTTCCCACATTTTCAAGTAGTTCTTACACTTCTACAAAGCTTTCAATGTTCATCCCTACCAGGATTTAGTGGAAGGGTATGTAAAGTGTGTTCCATTCTTGGTACAGCACATCTCTCTCTCTATTACATCTTTATTAAGAGCTCTTAGCTCTGCAGTTTCTGCTGCAGCGCAGCTCCAAACCAGCTCTCTCTGGGAAGATTGGTTAAGAAGGACTAGCAAATTAATAACCTAACACTTTAACAGTGTTAAGTCCTTTATTTTAACTCCTAGTTTGTGTTTTCTTAGGCTTTCCCTAGGCTACAAATAGGCAACAGGCAATATCCCTAGGTTACAAATCTCTTCTAAAAATGTAACCCCACAAGCCTAACACTATTTCTAAATAGACTACCCTTTAGGACCTGGCTACCTGGCTTAACGTGTCTTCTGAAGTGCTGCTTACATTAAGATGTATATATTTAAAGCATTCTCTATAGTTCAAAGCCAAAATGTGTGGTATGGATTAAAATCCAGCACACCAACTGGTTAATGCCTCTAAATGCTATAAACATCTAGGTGCTTAGGTAGGGTGCTGGTTCATGCTGCTTCTAGGTTCTTGAGAATGTACCAGATTTTAAAAAACTATTTGATAAGATATTCTAGTCCTGAGGAGCCCTTGCACAGTTAAAAGAGACCTATTTCACTACTATCTTTGTTATAAAAAGTAATTTTAAAATAAGTAGGAAAAAAAAGCCTAATGTACTACTGGAGTACTCATAAAAATCTCCAGCCTTTAAATCTCCAGTTTAAGCAGGGAAAACTAACAAACTCCAGCCTACTCAGGGTGATAAAATGTGCCAAAACTACTGAGCCCAGAAGAGGATGTAATTTACATAAAACAGAGGCGTAGAGATAATTTTCCAAGTTATAACCCGGACTGTCAAACTCCTGTAATGTACAGACCAGAGAGTCATGATTTGAGAAAGTGATTTTAAGACACTGTAGTTACACTTCATTTCTAATATGATTCTATTTCTTTGTTCATTTCCTGCATGACATTTACCACACATGAAGTCGTCGTGGGATGTATAGTTATAATTATGTATCTGCTGGTGAATTACATGCAGTTAGTCTCACAGAACTGTTTACTCAAAAGAAGTGACTGCTTTATAAAGGATGATTTTAAGTACTATTCACAGAATTGTTATTTTTAAGGGACAGTGAATCTGATAACTGTTTCCTGGGTCCTTGAATAAGTATTTTTAAGAAGTGTTGCATCTTCCTCATGCCAAGACTGGTACTGAAAACTCCTGTCATGTTCAGTTTCTGCATGAAATACCAGCCTGTACTTTGTAACTAATTCTCAGGCAGATGAAAAAATAGATAAAATTGAATGCCAGAGACATTCATTATTTGATTAACAGTAAATGTACCTCTCTGTGAAATGCATTGAGGCCAATTATCCACACATAAGATACTACCCAATTTCTACTCACAGTAGCTGTATCTGGAATCTTCAAGGCATCCTTCAGTTGCTACTTTTTCATTCTGTTTTCTAGATTGATAATAACTTACCTGTGTCATAAATATTGTGTATACTGATGTATTCTATTTTCTGGCAATAATTTAGTCTTTCATTAGCATTTTCTTTACTCACCCTCTACAGTACTCATTTTGTTCATTTGCTGGCAACTTAACTAGCCTCTATCACACCCTTTTCCTCATAAATGAGAATTTTTCTGCAAACTGTCTACTGTTCTACTTCTCTCTCAGCCCCCAGATAATTTTCATACTAAACGATTCAGTTACACCTTAAGTTGTAGCTTAACAACTAATTCTTTCTTGTTTAAGCAGCTATTATTCCTTCCTTCACTAGTTCCTACACCAGCTTTGTGCAGCCACCCAGTGAAACAGTTCAACAAATGCACTCACACTTTCCTATGTTGTTTCTAATCCTGCTCAGACCCCAGTTTGACTCACTGTGCAGCTGCCCAGCAGCCAGGCCAGTATAAACTGATCAAGAGCTAATGACCAAGGAGCAAATTTTTCTACCAAAAGAAGCACTCTTCACTACTCCTTATTCTATTACTACTACATTCTTTACTATTCTACTCACATTTCAACTATTGCCATATTACAGAATCTCAGAATGTTGGACAGGACAATATTCTGAGGTGGACAGGAACAACACAGACCATTGAGTCCAGCTCCTGGCCCTGTACAGGACCATCCCCAAGAGTAACACCCTGTGCCTGTGAGCATTGTCCAAATGCTTCTTGAGCTCTCAGGCTGATACTGGGATCCCTTCCCTGAGGAGCCTGTTCCAGTGCCCTACTGCCTTCTGGATGAAAAACTTTTCCTTGATATCCAACCTAAACCTCCCCTGACACAGCTTCAGGCCATTCCCTTGGGTCCTGTCA